TCAGAGATGTTCGGAGGTCGAAATTGTAACCAGCAGATCTAAGAATATTAAGTCGCGATTCTTCGAGCCTCGCGGCTCGTTTTTATAGAAACTCGGGTCTGTCGGCGAAAAAGGCAGCGGTCAGCATGCCAGTGTTCATGTAATATGAATATTACATAGTAATGCTAGAATAAAAACGATGACTTAACTTTTTTAATTTATAGTTTTTTGCCACAATTCGAAGGCAATTCGAAGACCATATGACACGATTCGAAGGCAATTCAGAGGCTACATGACACGATTCGAAGGCAATTCGGAGGCCACATGACACGATACAAAGGCAATTCGGAGGTCACATGCCACGATTCGAAGGCAATTCGGAGGCCACATGCTACGATTCGAAGGCAATTGAGAGGCCACATGCTACGATTCGAAGGCAATTCGGAGGCCACATGCTACGATTCGAAAGCAATTCGGAGGCCACATGACACGATACAAAGGCAATTCGGAGGTCACATGCCACGATTCGACAGTCAGGTACCTAGTACCTACCATGCGTCGACGTAGCAATAAATTACATAGGCGTAGGACTAGCACAGGTAAATCCACAGCAACTTGAAATTTGGCATTTCCTGGAGAAATTACTGTACTTGGAAATCGCTTACAGAAAATTACAAAAGCATCATTTTCCGTTACATCAGTACAAATATGTTTGACGTATCGAACGTATCGGATATACTAGACGTACTGAACGTATCCGACGTATCGGACGTGTACGAAGAACACATACGTCGGACGCGTATAAGAAATCCCGCCTAACGATTACAATTCGTCCAGACTCCCCCTAATCAACTAAAAAAATACACCAAACTCGTCAGACGAGAGTGAAGGCAATCTGTCGCGTGCACTCACAGGGAAATGATAACATCAATTTCGCCTGTCAAGTAGGAGTTCCAGCAAGCGGGGAAACGATGCCCGTCAACAATCGGACATAACGAATCGAAATGGTAGACATTTCGTGAGGAAATTGTTACTTACGTGGACGTTGTAGAAGAGCGAGACTATCAAAAGCCGAAGGCATGAAGCGGATGTAATGCGATGAGGCACGGGCGTAATTCCACGCGCGCGTTCCCGCGCCAGGCCAAAGGAATTCAGCCGGGTCTCTATCTCGAAAAATATTTCCGGGAAGCATCTCCTTCCGTTGTGCCTCGGAGGAGACGCGGCGCCCGTGAAAGCTGCAATTCCCTGGCCGCTAACAGCGTCACGGCCGAGAGCTTGGATCCACTGTCACGTCCTCGTCACGTCCGACGCATTCGACATCAATTTTCACACGACTACAGGTAATCGAGTTTGTCCTCGCCGCGATACAGTATTTAAAAGGCTGCGACACCTGACAGGTTCAACGCGGCGCGAAAGAAATATTACCTGTCGTCGGTGTCCGATCCATTTTTCTGCCTTGCAACCTGTCCTCTACCCCCCACCCCCGCCCTTCGACGCCTTTTTCGACGGTCAAAATTGGATCCGCAGGGCTGCAAACGATATGAAGGGCGCGCCCGATCTATCAACTTCAGAAAGCCGGCTGCAAAACTGGCTTTTCGCAAGTTTGGCGAAAATAGAGACCGGCTGAATATTCGAGCGAATTGTTCAGAGACAGTGTTGCAAATGGACTGCAAATCTCTAGGATACGACATCGGAGTAATGGTTGTCTACCATCAGCCATAATTTATGCATTTGGCCGACCTCTTGGCAGTGTTCTCGTCTCAGTTTTCTGCAGATTTGATGCCCGGTTAATGAGTTATTAACGATTTTAGCTTTGCAACGGTGCGCCTCCGTTGACGTATCAACCTACAAAATCAGTAGGCAAAGATAGACAAGTTTGAAATGTTTTGTATCACTCCAGAAGAGTATTATTTAAGAAGGCGAACGCTATACCGATTTATTTACCTTCTGAAATTGACGAATATTGCAAACAAAATGGTCACAGAAGGCAGAGGAGACGTTCAGCCAAATCCACACGACGAACTGTGGAACAAATATAGCCAAAAAGATGCGAAAAATCTCGTTTCATTAGTATCCTGAAAATAAGATAATTCTACGTAGAGTGGTATATTTCTTATTGTTGTAACATATTGAACAAACTGAATGGTACCAGAATTTCTAGGATATCAAAGAGTTAAACTAATATTTCCTATAGTAAATTTTAAATTTCTAGTTTAGGTTTCATTATTTAAATGACTTCGGTGTTGTGTAATAATCATAGCAAGAATAATCTTTTAATAATGTAATAATGAAACCATATAAAACACATACGTATCACCATTGATAATGAAAGAACGAGTATGTGAAAGGAAGGTAGAATTGTCCAGCAACTCGGAGTAAATGCAAAAATTGTGATTATACCATAGAAAGTCAGATTGAAATAAGAATCATTATACACTGCTGTGAAATTTTATAGGAATCGGTGAACAAAAGATGTTATGTTTTCATTCATCTGCCTCGCATGATCACCACCTTACGGTATGACAAAAATAACATTAATTATTTTTACAACGCTTCGACATGAATATATGTATGGTGTCGCCGTATCGTCGACATCCGAATGCAAAGGGTTGAACGTGGACGTTTCGAATGAACGGAAATAACCGAAACAATGGACGCGCGAAGCGAATTTGCGCGCGTGCAAGTATTGCAGAAAAACAACGCAGCTTATTTTGAAACGCGAAAGAAGCGAAGCGGCAAAACAGCCAGGTAAACAATTCGCGAGCTTTCGGAGGCATCGTGGTATCGATCGCGCTGGTAAATCGATGGCGTCTAGAAAAGCTGCAATTTCTCTGGCAGGCTGTCAGCGAACGAGTTCGAAAAGCAGGGGTGTTTTCGGTGAAAGGAAAAACGTGGAGGTGGCCCTCGAATCTCATTTTCCTAGCTCGCGCCTCCGCGCCGCATGGCTTCCGGAAGCGAGTTAACGGGGCGAATCCGCGTCGAAAATTATACCCGACGCGCTCGCGTGGCAGTTACCCGGTGAAAATTGTTCGAAACCCTCGGCCAGCAACACGCCCCGGGGCGGCCCAGAAAATTTCCCGACAAAAATAAGCTCGATTTATTTCACGCGATCGACGGCGGACGCGGTAACGCGTGCTCGATCGTTACAAATCACGAGTTAGCGAGAGCGTAACCGGTTCTTGTTCCCGTCGGAAACAATGTGCCCGTTCGAGATCAATCGGCCGCTGACATTTTCGAGCCTCGGATATATTGTTTTGTTAATTCCCCTTCAATTCCAGACTGACGGCCGGCGGGACACTGGGAATCGATTACCTATAACACATCGAATCACGAGATATGGTTTAGAGAGATCTTTTTAAGCGATGGAAATAGTATCGGCGAAGTCGATTGATTAATTTCATTCGAATGGATACGGGCACGTCGCTTCAATCGGGGGCGGCTCTTCCAGCACACAACCCCGACGCTTTTCAATTCATATTACCCCGCGGATTACGCTGTCAGAAATGACTCTGTTTTAATGGGATAATTGAAAACGCGTTACGATGGACCGAATTAATCTTCTCCTGCTGAAATATCGAAATAGACTACTTATAAATTGGCCGCGGGTCTCTATTCAATATTTAACGGACAATTTAACTGTTTCTTTCTCTGCTCGGCGATCCTAATTAATTGAAAATAATGCGTCGACATTCTGCAGTTCTACTAAATCTTTCTACCGTGTGTTCTGTATTTCTTCCGATCACCTTTTTCTCGTTTTTAATCAATTTCTAAATGGAACCAGACAATTTTAGTTTACTTTTTCCTTGTCTTTATTGACTTTTGTTCTTATACATATTATTAATAACGGAAGAATCGTATTTTGTTTCGATTTAAAATTCAATTTTCAATTCGATGACATTCGTGTGTCGCGGATTATGAACGAAATGAAACTCAACGTTTCTGTCGTCGTTTGTTTGCGATTATTAATTAATGCAAAATTATTAATAATACAACAAATACTTCTTTCGATGTGGATCCCAGGATCGAATTCCTGCACGCGACCAGACTTCAGCAGAATTACAATTGAATTACTTCAGGAATTATAATCACAAAGTAATTCAATTATGTTATAGTTCGTAATTCAGATAGCCATTGAATTCAATTACGAAGCAATATTTTTACGTCTTAACCTTTTAGGCCTGACGCGCCGTTTGAACCAAATAATCGTCTTCATATGCATTGTTTCGCACTTCTTTTGTCTTTACATCGATTTACAACAGTCTATAGGATGTCCCAAAAATGTCTCGGAATCCGGAAATGGCGGGTTCTTCGGATCATTTGAAGCAACTTCTTCCTTTACAAAATTTTTCTCCGAGGCGCCGTTAACGAGTTATTAACGAAAAACAGTGACCAATAAGAATCGAGTACGGCTGACGCGAGGCGGCCCAGCCAAACAGCGCGCGAAGCCCAGTTCCGCTCATTGGCTCGATCGCCTCGCGCCAGCTGAGTTCGCCTCTCATTGGTCACTGTTTTTCGTTAATATCTCGTTAACGGTGCCTCGGAGAAAATTTTTGTAAAGGAAAAAGTTGCTTCAAATGGCCTGAGGAACCCGCCACTTTCAGGTTGCGAGACATTTTTGGGACACCCTGTATATACAGTATCAGACTCTGCTGTTCAGAGAAATAGCCTCGCGCAGAATTCAGCCGTACCTAAAAGGTTAAGAAGTTGAAGTTTCGATTCGGTCATAAAAATCATGGATCAAGGTTCATTTGAAAAAATTCGGTATCTTTAATTCGACAATGTTGTCTTCAAATTGTAAACATTGCGAGGTACATAAACGAACGAGTAAAATGTTTCTTTTATTTCGAGCCACGTCGGGCAACGTGCCGTCAGCGAACTGTGAATAAAAAATGTGTCGGTTGTTCGTTCCGCTTTCCGTCTGTATGGAAACAGAATAGATAAACCCGGTAGCCGCTTGGCGACCTAAATCTACACTTGGAATTATGACGGTGGCGGATTCCCGTGAGAAATGTATGTTGCAGATGGCAGTGATCCTGAACGCAACGTCATTCCCGAACTTGGCGAACGACGACGACGACGAGGACCACAGCTACGTCCCCTACGATCAGCGCCCGGAAACCTACATCGTTCCCGTGGTGTTCCTGTTGATCCTGGTGGTCGGCGTCACAGGAAACGGGATCCTCGTGCTCACCCTGCTCCGTCATGCCAACATGAGGAACGTGCCGAATACTTATGTGCTCTCCCTGGCTCTGGGCGATCTTCTGGTGAGGAACACGTGGCCCTGATTCCGTTTGCTCCCCCGGTAATATTCCCCGGAATTTCTCCAGTGGGTTCATCGATCAAGAATTTCATCAGGGAAAAAATGCTCGCGCGTAATTTTTCCATTATCAGGATATTCGATCGCGTTTTTAGTGCGGGCCACGCTCGCGTGAGCCGGTAATGCGCGGCTCCGGTTCATTCGACGGTGATTGAAGGATAGTGCAGGTAATTTTCGAGTTCGTTAGCCGAGCCTTTTAACGCTTTCCGAAAACTTCAGAGAACCCGCGGGCCGGCTTTTCATTTTACCACTTTTCACACGGTTTGTAGACTTGGCGGCGATTAAGTGCTCGCGTGATGTTTAACTATCGTACGGGGCTCGGAGAAAATTCGCGGTAATCGCGTTCGGGTTGTAGAGACTTTAAAACATCGCGTACCTACGGAAACTGCGCTTCAAATTTATTCCTATGAATATTCTATAATAACTAACAGGATAATGCTGATGAAACTGGAATTTTGTTGACGAAATGTGTAATCCTGCATCATATGTGCGATTTTAAAGTACGTTTCTTGCATTTTACGTGCATTCCACCTGTTTGATCGTCATTAATTTTGGACGATATTTGCATCCTGCTCGTTCGATTGCCTTCCAAAGTGTGATTAAGAATTAAGTTAGAATTATTTCTTAGTACATCGATGCTTACTAATTTACATACATTTATTTAATCACTTATTTTTGACGAATTATGCTGATGCTTTTTGCGTCATAACGCAATTTTAACACTTGTGCAACTCATTCGCTATTTTGAAACATGCATAAAGGTATGCATAAAATATGCATCGGCTTAGTAGGGATTAATCCAGTTAACCTTGCAGCAACATTTCTGAATGCATTTCTACAAGACGCGATGGGTCGATCAATCTTCTGTTTGTTCGGTGATCCGAAATTCTACGGATCTCTTACAACGAAGAGATCTCGAAAAGCATTTCCGAGACTGTTTTGAAAGGGAATAATTGATATAGTAGAAAGTGCGCCATGATTTCTCGGTACCGTTGGAACTTGCAACGACCAAAAAGTAATTTAGTGCATTTTCCAGCGTCGAGTCGCAAAGACGCGGTGGCAATCAATGAATTTTTGCGCTGTAAAGGCCCCAGTATGCGTGCAGCTCGATTATCAGGGGAATTCTATCGCTAAAATCTCTCGTTCCGTGAGCTTAACGATTGGTGTGTTTGCCCCGAGGCTCGGAACGTTTGTAAGTAGTCGCATAGGGCTCAAACTGTAGAATCCAGGGGATAAATCTGTCGGTTCCGGCAGCAGAGCGCTGCCAGTTTTTACCGCGGCCGCGTACCTCCGTTCACAAAGTGGTAATACTTTGCTCGAGCTTCGGTAAAATCCCGACAACGACTCGATATTGGAGCTCGATTATTAATGCCCGCCTCCTACTCCGCTCGATAACACGCTCGATGCGCGTTCTGATCGACACGCAATTTATATCGGAGCGGAAAATGTCCGAAGATTAATGCGATCCCTGTCGCACCGCCTTTGACTGTCGGCGAAATTGTGTTCCCGCCCTTGCCGTGGCCGACAAATCATTGCAAATACTGTTTTCACGCGAGACAGTCCGGCGAAGCTCGAACAAATGTGACGCTTCATCTCTCGAATCGCTCGTATTTAAACAGCTACAATTCCGTTAAATATGATCGCACGATGACGAACCTGGATTCATTTTAAAGTTTAAAGTCCCCAATTTGTCAGGCTTTTACTGAGCCATTTTTCTAATTTTTTCGAGCGATGTGTCAGGTGAGAAACTGAACACATGTTTCCTCTCGAAAATGCTGAAAATTGAAATGCGTGTAAGTTCTCTCAAAAATTCTTTTTTGAAGCAACATCGTAAACAAGTTTGAAGTCTGAAGCCTCCTCTTTAAAACCACTGCTCAAAACTTGATCTACGATTTTTTCTTGTTCCAGCAAGCTTTAAATTAAATGTGTAATGTCGATTTCGTAGGAATTTCAACTACAGAATTTCACACTCGGAGGATTTTTCACGATCGAATTGGTGTCTCATATCTGTTCCATAAAGTGGCTAAAAAAAAATCGTAGATCAAGTTTTGAGATGTCGTTGGAAAGCGGAGACTTCAGTCTACAAATTCCTGTTAGCTCTTCACACACAAACAAAATTTTAAAATCATTTGAGAGCCGCTTCTACTTGTAGTATTTTCGCTATAAAAATGAGTCTCACCATAGGCACGGCAATTGTTCTCCGCACAGTAACCGGCTCCACTACTCTGACGATTGCTGTCCGGTTGCTAAATGTTCCACCAAAAATCTCGATTGTTGTGACGTTTCGATTAGCTCGGGCTACAATTCGATGAACTAGTGGCAACCGCGGGATGTCGGCGACACGCAAATATCATGCGGTGTAACTTATCGACCGGTTTCCACGTTGTTCATGCGATTTTGTCCCGCCGACGGGCTTCGCATTCGGTTCCCGTGAATCATCGAATCGATCGGGTCGGCCCTCGATATCGGTTTCCGCCGTCACGACTCGCCGAAACGTAGCTCGAGCGTGTCGCGATAAAAATGAGGAAGCCCCGGGGGACAGGATATGCTGCAGCCGTCGTCGGCCGTGTCAAGACGGGCCCCGTACATTTCCGATCACGAATTTACAGGTGATCGTGACGTGTGTGCCGTTCACGTCGATCCTCTACACGATCGAGTCGTGGCCGTGGGGTCTGGCAGTTTGCAAATTATCGGAGTGCGCCAAGGATATTTCGATCGGCGTCTCAGTTTTCACTCTGACGGCGTTATCAGCCGAGAGGTAAGTTGTCAAATCCAGTTACGGACCTGTAAATTGTTGTTTCGGGTGGCGAGGGTGGTGGCGGCGGTCGGGCGGCCATAGCAAACTTCGCCGAACTTCCGTTAATGGTCCAATCGGCCGGTCGACCGACCCGCCGTCCAACCGGTGATCCGAATGCCACGCGATAAGTCGCAATTAAACTACCGACCGATTAATTTGCTCGGGATTTCTTTCCCATGCAAATCAACCCACCGGAAAATGGAAAACCAAGAAACTTCCACCGTCCCTGCAACACCCTCCTTGCACTTCCCCCGCGGTTAATGGACGAGCTACAAACTGTTGCTTCCACCCACACGCTCGTCGCTCCGAGACAATGGTTTACTGCGTCCACAATCCAGTCAGTAATTCCTTTTCAATCCCTTTTGTTACGCAGTCTCAAACAGCTACCTATTTCGAAACGTACCAGGGAATAGTTTATAGTGCCCACTTCATCTTTCACTGGCGATTTTGTTCGTTGATCAGTTGGCTGCTTTGATTGCCGACTTAAATTCTCTTGGCAAATTCTTTTATTAATCGACAGGATATTTTGGCTTTTGACGTAAATCAGTTTTCTATGGTTATTTAAAACGCTCGCTGCCAACGTCACATATGTATGTGCGACGACCACGAGTTTGTATTTCGCGTAGAGAACATCAAATTAATTTTGCGGATATAATTATTTAAAATTGTAACACGCAGCATGATATTTAGAGAATTTGTTGCCTCTCTTTGCGGGCATTTTCATCATATTTTATAAGAGGATGCGATGTATTTATAATACGGTAAATATAATAAATATTATTATACTATATGATATTATATATAATATTTTCACTGATACAATTTACCGAATTAATTTTGCGATGGCTGTAGCAAAAGATGAAAGCAATTGCATAAAAACGTAGTGAAAACATAGACCGTAGGAAACAATTTTTGTTAAAAATTAGTACAAGATCCCCTTCAATTCATTTGCTAAAAATAGTGCTAAATAGAAATTATTAGAAGGTATCTTCCAACAGATACCTTCAGAAGGTATCTCCTGAAGAAATAATGTTATTTTGTAGCAAAAGATGAAAGCAATTGCATAAAAACATAGTGAAAACAGACCGTAGGAAATAATTTTTGTTAAAAATCAGTGCAAGATCCCCTTCAATTCCTTTGCTAAAAATAGTGCTAAATAGAAATTATTAGAAGATATCTTCCAACAGATATTTTCTATCCGGAGAAATAATGTTAATTCATAAATCTTCTACGACCATATCGCGCCATTAATCAACAAGCCACTTCTGTATTCGAATGTAATTGCAATGCAATAGTTTTCCAAATTGCGAAGTTGAATCACGATGCAATTGGATTAGCACAACCCTGTTAGATATTTCCGTGGTGCGCAGAACAATAGAGTAATTGCTGGACATGAAATATGGCCTCCGATTACTCTCGAAAGTTTGGCGAATTGAATAACGTGTTATGGCAGCGGGGTATGTGTGCGCTCAGAGAGCATGAGGGTACGTTTTTCCGTAGATACTGCGCTATCGTGAATCCTATTCGGAGGCACGCAGCCGGATCGAGCGCGAAGCCATTAACAATCCTAACAGCGAGCCTGATTTGGGTGCTGGCGATTGTTCTGGCGATGCCAGCTGCTCTTTTCTCCCACGTGCCGACGGTCCCGTTACAGGGCAACCACAGCATCCTGATTTGCAGCCCTTTCCCCGAAGAATTCGGTGAGTGGAATCACTTAAGCTGCCCCGCTTTTATTTTGCCACTCCGTTTACCTTGGTAACTGAACGCTCTTCCTCCGGGGACGCTTTTCTTTATCATTTTCCTCGTTATCCGCTGGACCGTTACCAAGTTACTATAGCAACGCCATTACGCGATTAGAAGCGAGTGGATTCCATTTTTCCGGAATTTCATTGGCGCCCTGGAGAAAGTTCCAGATAAAACGGTAACTTCTTCGTAACTGGAGGGCTGCCTGGAGAGAGAGAGCTGCCCTCAGAGACCGTCTGACCGTTAATTATTTATTATCTGGCTTGTTACAAGTCAGGGACAAGTGACAACGTGGTTAGAGGCGGGTTAGTTGCCTCTGCGACTGTGTTTCTTTGGATTATAGGGGTGAGTTACACACAGGGGATGGTGCTGTTCAAGTTTCTCGCCTATTATGCGATCCCGCTCTGCGTGATAGCCGGATTCTACCTGGTGATGGCGCGACACCTTGAACTTTCGACCAGAAACATGCCGGGAGAGAATTCCTCCAGGAGTCATCGTATGCAGCAAATTAGGGCACGTAAAAAGGTACGTTTGCGAAACTGTAAAGCGAGACCTTACGGCACGTACGCGGCAATAAAAATCGATGGAACCGGGAGAAGATCCATAAACCGGTTCAGACCGATGTTTCCCCATCAAACGAGGTCTCTGCAGCTCTGTGGAATTTTTTTATTAACCTATGAACGTACATACAATTTTCGCGTAGGTACTTTCGATTGGCGTACCAGAGCGATTGATCCGCGGATATGTTCCATCGGAAATTCACAGTGTTTGATCCAATGAACATTGAAGCTTTAAATCAATCTGAAAAAAAGAGATCAATTGCCTGGGTTAGGTAAATTGGTCCGCGAAATATTTTTCCATCGGACGAGCTTCCCGGACGAGGAATCCCGCGGAATTTTGTATTTATTTTATTTATTTTTTTATTTTATTTTTATTTTTATTTTATCTTCATTCCAGTTTCATTTGCATCTCTAATATTCGCGGAATCATTTTTTTCCAGAAATGTTCGTAGCACTTGTTGAAGTGATTCAAAATTCTGTTTTGTTGCGTTCCGATTTTCTGTGAGTTGTCTGTCGAAGACAATAGTTACTCTGCCGACGAAGGGTTGTATAGTTCATAACTTTTAATACTTCGTTTCAATCGCTGCGATCGATAGTAACGCGATATCTTTTTTCTTTTTATTAAACTATTCGTTAAACTGAGTTGCGATGGAAAGTGAAATATAATCGCGACCGTGCAATAAATATAAATATAGATTTCCGTGATTTTCTAGGTTTTTTATTTTTTCCCGTTTTGATGGATTTCTATTTTCTCTTTCTTCTGTTCCTCTCCGCATTCTATTCCTATTTTTTGTCTTTCACAAATCACCAGACTTCTCTTGCTTTCACTAATTGAATGAAAACGTCAAGTGAGGATCAGTTTTGCATTTGAAGAGACTAAAGTTAAAAGTTACCAGGAAGGAAAAGGTCATTGCTGAGTACGAGACACGTAATCAATTTTACGTCAAAATTACTTCAGCTTGTCGAAAAGTCTGTCTCGGTTAGAATGTACTTTTTAATCGCATATCTACGCGATTAAAATAACAGTGTATACAATGGAATAGTAGATATCGCATAACATGTCAAAAATTTGCATTGATAGCTCTTTTTTCATTTATTTGCAATGTTACTTAAACTTGCCCTAACATCTCGAAAATATTCACGCTATTTCTTTCAACTTGGGAAACGTTACCGTTTCAAAGGTGTCCGAATATTTCCGTGAAACACTGCAAGTGTTCCGTACCTCGTAGCATCATTACACCCGCACTGTGTACAAGCAACCTACTTTCCCCATAATTACTACCGAAGCTTCGGGCGCGAAGCGAGTGCTTTCAGAAAAATTTATTCCCACGCACGCCACCCCTAGTCAGCTCCATTAAGGGCCGAAAGGCACACTAACGCTCCCTTCGAAACGTAGAGAGAGAAACCGCGATGTTGGTGTAACGTTTCCAAAAGGGCTGGCCAAGTTGCATCTAAAAGTTACATCATTAATTATAGCGCGAGATCTTTGAATCCTGTCAGAAGTCAACATCGCAACATGCATTCGTTCGATTAATTGCGTGTTTTTAAGCAAAATAAAAATTGTCTGCATTAACTTGACTCGATTGACATCGTCTAAGCTCTTTTTTTGTCGCTAACAAATTCACATACGACGACGAAAAGTTATTTTTTTTATTCCATGTCAGCGTTTACTCTAATGCTCGAGTATATTGATAAATAAAGAGACGAATTTGATTTCGATTTAAAAAAAGATGCATTATTATTTGAGCCGTTTATATTTTGAAAGTGGCATAAGTCACTTCACCGTAATGAAAAGTGGTGATTTTTTAATGTTTATACGAAATTATTTATACCGAGAAAAATATCAGTATCCTGAGATAACAAATACAAGTAAATCTTCTCGAAAGTTAGCATCCATATTTTTAAACGTGTTAAAACGCAAACCCTTAAATATATCGACTTAAAAACAAAGTGACTTGTGCCACTTTCAAAATAAACGGCTCATTTGGAATCTATCTATATCTATTTGGAATAGATATTCGAGACGAGTCTGACAAGATATTATAGTGCAATTAAACTGCACACACTTGATACGTTTGGCGAGCTGAAAATAGTGCACGATTATGCTTCGTACATTTCCACTGTTTTCTAGATTCCAGGAATGACCAACAAGTCGATCCGTTCATCAAATTTATCGCAAAAGTAAATAAGATTTATCTCGATGTTTTCGAAAATGAAGTTTCCAATAAACAGAAATTTGTTTTATATTTTCGGCTTATCTCTTGACGTAGAGTCAGCCTTTTGATCCGATTGCGCCATCAATTACATGACGCGCTGTATGTATAGAAGTTGACCACCCATGCTGTACTCGGTCTACCAATTTCTATCACAAATGCAATATCCGCGGTCGATTCATAGAATAATTTAGTCCGCTTTTGTGGAATCCTCGAGGCGGTTTGTTTTGGCAGTCTTCCCAAGAATCCGCGAATCTTTCCGGCTGCACCATGCAGAGGAGAATCAAGTTTCAGCAACGAAACGAAATCCCAGCAATTGGGGGAATAACTTGGAAAAATTCCGCAGGTAACGCGGCACCGGCGAATCGCGAGAATTAGCCGCGGACAGCTCGCGGAATTGCGCGCTCCGTTCCGCTTGCGATTCACCGTTTATCGCGGGACGATTTGTCATCGCGGCCGTGTTCGGCGACCCGATATCGATTACGTCGATTGAAATCGGTCGCGCGTCTTTCCGCTGTTACCGAAATCAACGGATTAGGCTCGGCTGAATGGTTGCAGGAGAGGAGGCGCGAGGAAAGTTTCGTTGTATCGTCGTCGTCACGCTCCGATGCCGTTCTCCATCCGATAATTCGACGCCGAGCATCCCGGCGGCTGCCTTTAAAGTTCACGATAACGAGACACGCCAAGAATAACGGTGGTGCACGGGCGAACGCTGCGTCAGAAAACCGGCGAAAATTGAATTACAAGCTCGAGGCGGTAACCGTTCTATTGTTTGCAGACAGATGTCGGGAAGTCGGCGCAACTATCGCACCACTAGCTCCTCTACCATCGCGAAATGAGCACGAACTGTGTCACAGCGCTTCCAGGATCACTTCTGGACAGTTACTCGAAATGCTGGGCTTTTCTTCCGAATAGGAAAGCCCTGCTTCGCCGATTCACACGGAATTCTTAAAACGTCGCCGGCGCTGAGTAGCCAGCTTTTTCTTAAAGGGACGCGGAATTGGTTATTCTGTCTGCAAAAGAGAATGGAGATGCAGGCTATTCGATGGCATTTTCTGTTAGGTGATTGCTAGGAACGTCGCATGATTTGTCCTAAATGCTAGGCCAATTTTTCCGCAAAAGTAAAGGACGCGCTTCGGTCGTTCTCGCGGAAATGTTAAAAGATCGGCTTCGCCGAACGGTTTCCGATTACCCTGGAAGAAAAATTGCACAAGTTCGCAGACCGGTCGGCGCCCGTTTCTTTCGCACGCACTATTTGCTAGGAATCATCGACTACGTGGCGTAGCCGACTAAACAGACGTGTCGCCGTGGAATAAATCAATCCAGGCGGTTCTCATTTTTAAAACGTTTTACGATCCTCGTTTCTAACGGTACACACGAAAGCCCCGACAAACTGGTCGATCCGATAAATATTGCCACGCGTCACGTAGACCGTGTCGTCTAGTCACGCGCGATGTATTATTTGTTCATAGAAGGTTTACCGTTTAACGACTGCTGATCATCGCGCGGCTCGTTGCGTATCCGAGCGATAACGTGCTCCACCGGTAGCTAAGCAAATGCCTCGGGAGATAGGATCTGCGATCGAGCCCGAGTAGGAACTTGATCATCTAAATTAATAGACGGACACGTATATTGGATGATGCGTCGATCGGCCGGCGCCGATAATCGACCGTGGGACTCCGTTTAATCGTGTAACGCGTGATCGTTTGTTGTGGCCGACAGGTCGGCAAGATGGTGATCTCGTTCGTGATCATCTTCGTCGTCTGCTTCCTGCCGTATCACACGTTCATGCTGTGGTTCCACTTCTGCCCGTCGTCCCAGTCGGACTACGACGACTTCTGGCACGCCTTCAGGATCATCGGATTCTGCCTGAGCTTCGTCAACAGCTGCGTGAACCCGATAGCTCTGTACTTCGTCAGCGGGACCTTCCGCAAGAGGCTAGTAGCTCAGCTAACGGATCCGCAGGGTTTAACTGTCGCGCCGTCCCTTACGATCCTCGGCAAACTCGGGATCATTTGCCCGGAAATCCCGTCATTAGACCTTGCGCGTGCCTGCATCCGCGAATTCGTAGAACCCGCGGAAATGCAAATGTTGCCGCGAGTTGGAAGTACACTCACCTTTCTAGACGAAATTCTCGAACACTGAATCTACCGAGCTGTAAAAGCAACGTTTCTTTTTTTACGATGGAAAGATTGTATTTATTTAGATCTTTTGACATTTTTATTATATAGTGCATGTTTCGATTAAGACATTTTATTCGATTATTTTATATGGAACAGTCTTTATCATTTCAACAATTTTAAAGCAAAGAATGTGATTTGGTCATTTGTATCAATCGACTGATACTTTGATTATCTGACGATGTTCGCTTGGATCTTTGGTACTGAAAAAGACGTTGAATCATCCACGAACGATGATTGTGGCGCGAGTAGTACTCGTCTTATTGGAGCGACTTTGCTAAATCCTTTAATCCTGCTGATACTTTTCAATATTTATTGCAAGAAAAATGTGTACAATCTGATCACGTCGTTACGTTCTTGATGATCGCTTCGATGTCTGATTATAAAGAAAACGTTCGATCATCCAGGAACGATGATTGTCGCGAATTAATAGCACTCATCTCTTTAAAGCGACTTTGCTAAATCCTTTAATCCTGTTGACAGTTTTCAATATTTATTGCAAGAAAAATGTGTACAATCTGATCACGTTCTTACGTTCATGATCGCTTGGATGTCTGATTATAAAGAAAACGTTCGATCATCCAGAAACGATGATCGTCGCGAATTAATAGCACTCATCTCTTTAAAGCGACTTTGCTAAATCCTTTAATCCTGTTGACAGTTTTCAATATTTATTGCAAGAAAAATGTGTACAATCTGATCACGTCGTTACGTTCTTGATGATCGCTTGGATGTCTGACTATAAAGAAAACGTTCGATCATCCAGAAACGATGATCGTCGCGAATTAATAGTACTTATCTCTTTAAAGCGACTTTGCTAAGTCCTTTAAGCGATCAGAAGTTTGACGAACGTGAGAGGAGAACCTGAACATCCTGCTCATTTAATTCTATCGCTTATTACTCGGCCCAAGAATCATTGCAACAAGTGAGAAACTGCGTTACCAATTGGGCATTCGAACTGCTCGCCGTCGAATTGTTGCCGCGCGTTAGAAGCTCGTTTCCCAACAAAATTTCGAGATTGCTAACGAGGAAACTTTGAGCGACAAAGTTACAGCTCCGCCGGAGCTGTTTAATTGAAAATACCAGCGTATGCCGCGACACGCAAGGGAGTATGATATATGTATAATTCGTGGCGGCAGATTTAACGAGTACCTGTGCTGTCGACTGTCATCGAGGACCCTGGGCGTCTGTCGGACCGGGACCACGGGCAGTTTGGAGAGGAACGGCAACCGTTTGACGCGGAGAACGCGCCTCGGCGGTCAGGACAGCCACTACGAAACCAGTTTCGGCTCCACGATCCGGAGACACACGCAGGAACTGAATTCAACGGCTCTGTACGAGCTAGCCAGCGAGGCCGCTGCCAAAGACTTGCCCGGCGATTTAGATTGTAAGTAATCGATGACAATGATTAATGGGCGCGGCGTCATCGTCGGTGTTCGCAGGAAACCGGGGACCACCAGCACACCCATGGTCGAACGACGTTCGCGTGGCTGCAGGAATGTATCATAAACGATGTGTAAATCGCGGACCGCTGTGCGATCTAGAGCGTCCTCAGCATCCCCCGGACATCCTTCTGTGATCCACGCATAACTGATCGACGATCGCTCCTCTGTACAGCTTCGATCCCGTCGGGGACTCTGCTCACACTTTCGTCATCCTAAAACGCGACGTTTTCGAAGATGGTACTACGATCGTAGAGTCGTCGGAGAGATCTCTTCGGTGTAGTGGTGCTTAGAAATACGTCGTTCTCATGGACTATTCTTCGTCTAGACTATCAAGGACTCTCTTACCGAAACGCATTGTTTCCTTCATCCAAAGTATCGCGAAGTCTCCTATTGTACTGTGCAGAACACAATAAAGTCTCGCCAGAGAAATAGGGAAATGACGAACTGTTTTCTTAGGCTGTTTCTGTAGAGGAATCCGGTGCCATTCGCGTTGCGGTGATTGACCATCTTCCGACCAGAGTTAGTACCTTTATAACTACAAGAGTTGTTCCTATTTTAACAATAATTATTATTCCATTATTTTATTTACTATCGAAGTCCATCGTATCCATCGAATTGTTTTTCCAAAGTTTGGGTCGGTGTGGATCTATGCGCAATACAGACATCCAAATTGTTTCCATGACAAAAGATATAATATTTTGCGATGTGTTACACGAAATAATGAGATGCGAGAAATGAATTAATGGGAACGGGACAAACAATGTTAAAAAATAATTTCTTCTGATATTTTTTTAATAAATAGGTTTCGTTTCACTTGCTGTTTAATTTCATTTAATTGCGTTGCCAGAATGTAGTTACAACAATATCAACAATAAATTTAAATACAATTAATTAGTACGTCATTGATCATGTGGTTCTTTAAAAAAAAATTCATGGACATCGTTGTTTTAATTTTGTGGTCCTGCAAACAATTGCGATAATTATCGCGAAAATTGAATCGAACAATAATAAAGCTTTCGAGCTGATTTTTCGAGAATTTTGCTGCAGTTCGTGTATACGATGTCGAAGAGAATCGGGTACGGATTTTTCAATCCGACGTTTCCTTCACAAAAATGCTTATTTATTATAGAAACAATTACTAGGCAATATAATTTGCACATAATTTGAGTGAGCATAATAAAATGCTATCAGAAGGCATGTTTTCAGAATTTTATCTGGGAAATTACCGGCAGTTGATTTTCGCCCTCCCTTGAGACACCTGCCGGTCAGGACACGTGTAACGCGTCAGGATCCATCATCGTTCTGGTAATCATCAGATCTCGCGTGACGAACGGCTTGCTCGCCTCCGCCCACACTTTTCCCTTGTCCGCCATTGATCCAGCTGATCGTAGCGTCGTCTCCCAAGGCTGAAATAAATCCTCGGATGTTTTCCACGGTGCGGCGAGTCGCGGACGAGAGGATTCCAGGCGTTATTGAATCACGACGAGGGATTTAATTAGCGAGAGAGAGAGATAGAGAGAAACAAAGGCGGAGGCCGCACGGAAGGAGACGGGCCGCGTATTAATTGTGTTCCATAGCCGAAGACCTTGCCACCTTCCACCCCGTAATCGGTGGATCCCTGTTTGACGGCCGACAGCAGCCGGCCGGCTAACAGGATTTAGTATCGCACGTCCATTGGCTGTTGCGTTTCCGTGCGTTATAGACGTCCGCGTCCAGATAACGGCTGGACGTCTTCGCCGATGGCCCTATTATAGCTGTAATTAGGCCACGTAGCGCGGAAACGTTTCCTCGGAGAATCGATACGTGGCCGGAATACGGGATTGACGCGCGCGAACAAGTTTACGCTCCCCCCGTGGGCCGACGGGAATTTATTCACTCGAACAGGGCTCCGAACTTATTCCCACGCGGCTCGAGTGCCGCGCGATCTGATCGTGACTATTGCGCGAAATACACGGAGCTTCACGTCGAATAATCCTCCGTCTCTGGACAGCTTTGCGTTGTTATAGACGCAGCATGTCCCGCGAATTTACACCCTTAGGACACGAATTCGGACGATTTCTGAGTCCGCGCGAGTCGACTGCCGTAGTTCGTGCAAATTTATGCCACGATATTCCGAGGGATACAGGCTGGAAATCGATCGTTGTAGACTGCGGAAGCTAGCGCGATTTTTGATAGAAGAATTCGGAAAACCTCAGGGTAGAAGATAACATTCTAGAGAACAGAGACTGTAGGAAACTATAGAGGGTGTCTCAGAAATGTCTCGTAATCTGGAAATGGCGGATTCCTCAGATCAATTGAAGCAGTTTCTTCCTTTGCAAAAATTTTCTCCGAGGCACCGTTAACGAGTTATTAACGAAAAACAGTGACCAATAAGAATCGAGTATGGCTGACGCGAGGCGGCCCAGCCAACCAGCGCACGAAGCCCAGTTCCTGTCTCTTATACACATCTAGATGTGTATAAGAGACAGGAACTGGGCTTCGTGCGCTGGTTGGCTGGGCCGCCTCGCGTCAGCCGTACTCGATTCTTATTGGTCACTGTTTTTCGTTAATAACTCGTTAACGGCTGTCTCTTATACACATCTAGATGTGTATAAGAGACAGGAACTGGGCTTCGTGCGCTGGTTGGCTGGGCCGCCTCGCGTCAGCCGTACTCGATTCTTATTGGTCACTGTTTTTCGTTAATAACTCGTTAACGGCTGTCTCTTATACACATCTAGATGTGTATAAGAGACAGGAACTGGGCTTCGTGCGCTGGTTGGCTGGGCCGCCTCGCGTCAGCCGTACTCGATTCTTATTGGTCACTGTTTTTCGTTAATAACTCGTTAACGGCTGTCTCTTATACACATCTAGATGTGTATAAGAGACAGGAACTGGGCTTCGTGCGCTGGTTGGCTGGGCCGCCTCGCGTCAGCCGTACTCGATTCTTATTGGTCACTGTTTTTCGTTAATAACTCGTTAACGGCTGTCTCTTATACACATCTAGATGTGTATAAGAGACAGGAACTGGGCTTCGTGCGCTGGTTGGCTGGGCCGCCTCGCGTCAGCCGTACTCGATTCTTATTGGTCACTGTTTTTCGTTAATAACTCGTTAACGGCTGTCTCTTATACACATCTAGATGTGTATAAGAGACAGGAACTGGGCTTCGTGCGCTGGTTGGCTGGGCCGCCTCGCGTCAGCCGTACTCGATTCTTATTGGTCACTGTTTTTCGTTAATAACTCGTTAACGGCTGTCTCTTATACACATCTAGATGTGTATAAGAGACAGGAACTGGGCTTCGTGCGCTGGTTGGCTGGGCCGCCTCGCGTCAGCCGTACTCGATTCTTATTGGTCACTGTTTTTCGTTAATAACTCGTTAACAGTGCCTCGGAGAAAATTTTTGTAAAGGAAGAAGTTGCTTCAAATGATCCGAGGAACTCGCCACTTTCGGATTGCGAGACATTTTTGGGACAACCTGTAGAGGCTCTAAGAAGTACGCCGATCGCATCTGAACGATCGCATTACTTTATGTGGAGAAATCCGGAATCAGTTGTTGTGGTCACTTTCCTGTGTTCATTCGGCAACCAGTCAAATGGACACCAACTGGCAGGTCAATCTCGATGAAACTGGAAGGAATTTAAAGGATTCAGAGGTTTAGAAGAATAGCGGTTACTCTTGGACGTCGAGCGAATAATTGGTAAGACAGCCTGATTTAACTAACTCTAGAATAAGTTATAACAAATTGACTGTGCGGAATTCTACAAATTAATGGATTCAGAATATTTTCAGTAACATTCGTGGAAAGAACGGACAGGTCAGCATCCGTGCAATTAACTGATACGTGAATCTACTATCTACTAAAATCGAAGGGAATTCTAGGGGCTCATTGGTTTCGAAGAAGACTGTCCGACAAGCTCCTTGGTCGTTGTTCGATCAATTATTACGCCAATCCATTATCTATCTAGATCTAGAATGCTTGCTAAAAAAATCAATTAAACCAAAAGCAGTTCGAGAGTTTCATTAATTTAGAAGGATAGCAATCCTCAGCAAGGTTTTTACACACACACACACATCGTTCAATTAACTGACAAGTCAATCTACTCTCTACCTAGACCTAGAATAAATGTCAAGAAACCAGTAAAACCGAAGGAAACTCGTGAGATTCGCAGGTCTCGAAGAACAGCAACCCTCGGCAAGACTCTTGGACACCGTTCGGTAGTCTCCATCGCGGTGTTGGCAGTGCAGGGAAGAAACAGGCAGCAGCTACTATCTGCATCTACAATCGAGCAGCTAGTAACGTATTCCGTCGGAGTTTCGGGGCGAAGGGGCGCGTGCCAGCCGCATTTATCGGGCGCAGGGCACGCGTCGAACAAACAGGGGTTCCGAGGACAATGTTCCCCTTGCAGATGTACGGTAGGTCAACGCGAGGGGCACTGTTCCCTGGGGTTCTCGGGGAACTTGGGAGGAGGGGGAGAGAAGCCATGGCAAACTGTCGTCACCCTCGCAGCAGTCTCCCGTAGTTAGGGTCGCTACGATTTGGCTAGTCGATGCCGATCGAGGTTAGTCAACGGTCGTTTGCCTGGCTGCGTCCCTGGAAACAAGAAAAGAACCTTCGGTTTTTAACCGAGGAGGAACAAAAGGGTCTAAAGGTTAAGGGAACCGAGTGGCTTTGCTTCTTGGAAGTGGAAGGGTGCGCTAGAGATCGGGGCTATTTCTGTGCGTGTGCTGTTCAAGGTGTTCCCGAAACATTGTGAATCGTTGTTTGGTGACTTAGAACTTTGCTCGAGATGAAGAGATACTCGTCGGTGAGATATGATACTTGTGCGTCGATCGTGCCAATCGACTCCTTCACTGTGCTCATGCCATCGTTGCAGTTCCCGGATTCATTGATGCAGTTTTTAAACAAATTTTTTTAGAGTAGCTTCACGGTCATTTTTCATAGAGAGACTTAACGATACGTCGTTTCTCTGATTAAAGATTAAACAATAATCTATCAGTGTAATATAAGTGAGGCTTATATTGCACTTATCCGCAGTTATGGCTTATCTGCGACTTAATCCTCCAATGACGTCCCATTTCCTGTGTGTGTGCCACACAGTAAAAATGACTCGGTCAATAAATGACACAGCGATTGCAAAGGAATATCTAAACTGTCGTAATCCCATCATCTTAGAATGATTAGAAGCTCTCCATTCATACTAACTTTTTAAAGGTAGAATAAAATTCATATCTATTGATGACATACATTTATCAGAAGATAATAGAATCTTGCACATGGACATTTATTTATTTTCTAAACACATTACACGAATGTCTTCACTATCTGCTCATTCATCTTGTCATGAATTGCACAAAACAGAAATTGAATTCATTTGTTAAAAGGTTCGAACAAGTTAAAACTAGTCAACGACGTGTTTCCCAATGTACTCATCTTTTTATTGTTTTAAATTGACCTGGTTATTTTCTCAATCGGCCACTTTCTTATCTTTTTACCGTCTTAAACTGACCCAGTTATTTTTCCTCGTTCACTTTCCAATCTCTTTACCGTTCTGAGTTTACCCGATCATATTTCACCATTCACTTTCTACTATTTTTACTGTTTCGAACTCACCTGATCATCTTTCTATTCGCTTGCATCCACTTCCTATCGTCAGTCTAACAACGGAAACTTAGGATCCGGTTGTAAAGTTTTATCTACGCTTTTCGAGTTTCCACGTTCCAAATGTTCTTTTATTGTCGCGAATGTTTTTCGTCGAGGGCTACGGAAGCTACGGAAAGCCTGAGCACATTGGTGGGGTGGCTTGACTGCGAGGCTTTTTTATTAACTATTTTCGAGCGCAGGCTCCCTGTCTGGCTGATGGAAACGGCGATACGAAAAAGTTGAAGACCGCCGAGGTAAATAGAAGCTTTAACTACGCAGAGATCGATTCCTGTTTGAGATATCAGAACCGTTCGCCTAGTCGGATTACATGCTCGCGGGACGTTTGATTACGCGTTTAACAGCGTGCGTTCGCACGCGGTGTTTGTACAGGAGCCGAACGCGAGGGAGTATCTGCAATTGGCGTTGGCCAGGGTGCTCGAGCTGCAGCGGGAGATCAAAGAAGGAACGTACACAACGGAGAACACCAGCGACCTCGGTAATCAGAATTTATATCGTAAACTTGCCGGCTGCTAGTTTCCACGAAACAGTTCCGGCCCGCTGATCGCCGGATTAGAGCACGAAAGTTACGCTCGATTTTTAACACCCGATCGAACTTCACCTGGCCTCCTTGCTGGCGGTTCCTTTCCACTGAACCCGTTCTAAAATAGAAGAACCGTCTCGCTGCAACGAATTCTACGGCTCGTTACTGCTAATTGCAATTGTTTGGGAAACTAACTTCTGTGGAAAGGATCGTTTGTTGCTGGTCCGTAGTTTTCTGCAGCGAAACCTGAAATTCCACCTCGTTGAGTCATTTTATTTTTTTTTGTCGGCGCTGTCTGCCGAACGATGAAAGCACCGCTTCGCTCTATTTTTCTAAAGGATCTGTGATATTGTCGTCTGCAGCGAATATTTCTGTGACGATTTCTATGCTATTTTTCTGGTCGAATCTTTCATATTTGTCGTACTTTGCGCGATAGTAAAATCACTGTTATTGCCGTATTATTACCAGATGATATCCCTGGTTGCGTTTCTTGCAAGTACCGTAATAAAGTCATCGTTATTGCTGCATTATTATTAGACAATATTCCTGTTTGTTTCTCTTACATTTATCGTAATCTGTACAATGATAAAATCATTGTTATTGCTGTATTATTGTCACATGATATTTCTGGTTGTTTCTTTGATATTTGTCGCAATTTGTACAGTAATAAAATCATTGTTATCGCTGCATTATTACTAGATGGTATCACTGGTTGCTTCTCTATCTTTCATCGCAGCCGGTGCAACAATAAAATCATTGTTCTTGCAGTATTATTGCTAAATGATATCCCTGATTGCTTCTCTGATTTTTATCGTAGTTCACGAAACAATAAAATCGTTGTTACGTTGTATTATTACTGAATAATATTCCTGGTTGATTCTCTGACTTTTATCACAGTTAATGGAACAATAAAATCGTTATTATGTTGAATTATTACTGGATGATATTCCTGAGTGCTTCTCTTACATCTATCATAATCCATGCAATAATAAAATCATTATGAATCTAGTAACATGAATGCTAACAGGGAGGTTCTCTGCTCAGGTGAGTCGAGCAGCGACGAGGACCTGACGACAGAGGTTCTGAGGAAAGTCTTCCAGAACCTGCCGGGCACACCTAACTCCGTGGACCGTCTGCTGGACAGGTCCGCGAAGCCAAGGAACGCGCAGCTCGACGCGATTCATGGGAAAAGGATCCAGCTGTTGGGCTACGACACCTGTCGCAGAGCAGCCGTCGAGTACATGAAGAACGCAGTCCGCGAGACAAGAAAGGAATCCTCAAAGACGAATCCTCCATCCAATCATCCCGGCTTCCGGCTTGCTACTTATTCGAGGAACGAGCCCCGGATTGCACAATGCAGGACCGGTTTGCTGAGAAGTTCGCACAAAAGGGAGGCTGGCTGTTCGTATGACCAGGAGATCAGGGACAGGATGCTGAAGAGCTTGGACCTCCATTTAGCCAGCAAACAGAGGGATTACACTGCGAAATTGATGAGATCCGGCTTTTAGAAATCGTTGGATTCGTTTCATCGACCGAGGATTTTGCGATTAGTTTGCGTCGCGAAGGCTCTTTTCTTAATCGATGCTCCTGCGAGTAATTAAATCGTCGGAGTCCTTCCTCTGATTAAGGCTTCTGCGATTAATTGTGTCGCGGACAGGCTTTCCCTAATCAAGGATTTTGCGATTGTGACGCTCTAGTCAGATTTACCTGCCTCGAGAGCCATTCTAGTCATGCATACCAGTCAGAAATATTGAGAAAGCTTTTAACTAAGAATTATTTTTCTAAGATATATATTTATATTTATGATTACTCTATAAGGTAAATTATTGTAATAACCTGTATCTTGTGAACGATTTTGCTGTGCTGTAACAGGGTTGTAATTTGTAATGGACAGAGTGAACGAAGCTGTTAAAATCATTATAATTCAAATTGAATCGTTATCGAGCTTCGAAGTTGACTAATGTGTTTTGCTCTATATAAATGACAATGCGATATTCCTTTAGACTTTTCGATATCGTTGTTATAGCGTGAATTAAGAAATTTCCTACAAAAGACTTCGCATAATTTCAATATATCTTAAATTAACAATTATGTTAACACTTCAATTGTCACGCCTACAATCCCAACAATTTCACGAAATTAAATTTCGTGAAATATTAATATATATATAATATTAATATATTAAAATATTATATAAATATTTTAATATATATATATATATAATATTAATATATATATATATATATATATATATATATATATATAATATTAATATATTATAATATTGGATCAAATTGAAATTAAAAAGTTACGTCACACCAATTCAAGATGATATCGTCTACTCTTTCGACATTCGCACGTTTTATCCGAACAAGATTGACATGATATAATTCATAAGCCTAAAAATGAATGTTTCACTGTGAGCAAATAATTCAAAGAATTACCCGTCCCATGATCGTGCAGCAAGCTGCGTGACGATTTGAAAGGTTCGTGGGCCGGTCGAGCTTTGTAAAAAATGTTTATTCATAATGTACAATTAAAAAAGAAAACAAAGACAGTTGAATGTATCTACGATACGACTTAAACGGCTAAAAACGCTCCGCAAACCTCCGTCTTGTTTCTCGAGTGATATAAAAACTATCAGAAGTTACGCCAATGGGTCGACACTCGACTAGATGAAATTTTAGTCACATAGAAAGGTGTTCCGGGAAAATCAGCGTTTCTGGTGACGGAAACAATACGCCCTAGCTAAGGCACGCGTGCAACTTCTATAAAAAAATAAATTTCTCTTCCCACTAATCACCGTCTCTCGTTAATCACCGTTTGTCTTATCACACCGTTCACGATCCACTCGGATAGTCTCTCTCTCAAGTTTCACGCGAGCTGCATCCGCGCGTCCTCGGCCGAGAAAGAGTTCAATTTTTTGAAGATTCCGAGGACGTCCGCGTCGCGACTAACGAAGTATTATGCACAACTATGCAGTCTACAAGCTAACCTAATATCGAAACGCAGCAGGACATCGACTCCGTCCAACTCCGATCAGAGTATGTACTTAAGTTCGAACATAATCGAACGGACACCGAGGCCGTCGATTCCGCGCGCGTAACAATGCACGTTCAGCCGCCGCCAATTGTCTTCCCGCTTAACGATCACCGTCGATTTCATCGGCACGATTTAAACGGCCAGATCTTTAATACGCTACGCTAACCTACACAATTCTGTCTTCACCGCTACCACGCGTCGCTGAAAGAAATCTAATCTCTAATTATCACTTTTCATTATCTCGGCTTCGAATATCTAGGTCGTTTTGTCCAGGAACTAGCTAAAGAAAGATTCGATTCTAGGCCTAAGAACATGGTCAGAGGTTTCTCGTCTTCGTTGCTCCGGTGTCCTGCGATCCTACCGACTAAACTGCGGATTTTACAGCAAGGTCCTGGGAACCGAGCCCACTGTATATGTATAGTCATTTCTCGTCGTCGTTCGACTGGGCGAACGATTCTCTAACAATCACCTAAAAGAGCACGAGCCAAAACAGCGTGAAGCATCAGCGTGTCTCGAACAAAAAATGGGAACTGTATCTAAAACTTTCATTGCACTTTCAATTCCTACGTCTACGGTGATTCTAATCAGCACTCTTTCGCTTGTTAGGGAATCGATCCCCCTTCTGGATCCCCCTTATGGATCCCCGAAACCCGCAGTCGGACAGGCGTCGACCGTCGATCGTAGCTGCCGAGTCGTCGCGTGCAAGGTTCCAAAGAACACGGTGCACGGCTGACAACACCGCTTCACCTGTCTGTCGCCTACCGTTAAAAACTAAAACGCTNTATATATATATATATATAATATTAATATATTAAAATATTGGATCAAATTGAAATTAAAAAGTTACGTCACACCAATTCAAGATGATATCGTCTACTCTTTCGACATTCGCACGTTTTATCCGAACAAGATTGACATGATATAATTCATAAGCCTAAAAATGAATGTTTCACTGTGAGCAAATAATTCAAAGAATTACCCGTCCCATGATCGTGCAGCAAGCTGCGTGACGATTTGAAAGGTTCGTGGGCCGGTCGAGCTTTGTAAAAAATGTTTATTCATAATGTACAATTAAAAAAGAAAACAAAGACAGTTGAATGTATCTACGATACGACTTAAACGGCTAAAAACGCTCCGCAAACCTCCGTCTTGTTTCTCGAGTGATATAAAAACTATCAGAAGTTACGCCAATGGGTCGACACTCGACTAGATGAAATTTTAGTCACATAGAAAGGTGTTCCGGGAAAATCAGCGTTTCTGGTGACGGAAACAATACGCCCTAGCTAAGGCACGCGTGCAACTTCTATAAAAAAATAAATTTCTCTTCCCACTAATCACCGTCTCTCGTTAATCACCGTTTGTCTTATCACACCGTTCACGATCCACTCGGATAGTCTCTCTCTCAAGTTTCACGCGAGCTGCATCCGCGCGTCCTCGGCCGAGAAAGAGTTCAATTTTTTGAAGATTCCGAGGACGTCCGCGTCGCGACTAACGAAGTATTATGCACAACTATGCAGTCTACAAGCTAACCTAATATCGAAACGCAGCAGGACATCGACTCCGTCCAACTCCGATCAGAGTATGTACTTAAGTTCGAACATAATCGAACGGACACCGAGGCCGTCGATTCCGCGCGCGTAACAATGCACGTTCAGCCGCCGCCAATTGTCTTCCCGCTTAACGATCACCGTCGATTTCATCGGCACGATTTAAACGGCCAGATCTTTAATACGCTACGCTAACCTACACAATTCTGTCTTCACCGCTACCACGCGTCGCTGAAAGAAATCTAATCTCTAATTATCACTTTTCATTATCTCGGCTTCGAATATCTAGGTCGTTTTGTCCAGGAACTAGCTAAAGAAAGATTCGATTCTAGGCCTAAGAACATGGTCAGAGGTTTCTCGTCTTCGTTGCTCCGGTGTCCTGCGATCCTACCGACTAAACTGCGGATTTTACAGCAAGGTCCTGGGAACCGAGCCCACTGTATATGTATAGTCATTTCTCGTCGTCGTTCGACTGGGCGAACGATTCTCTAACAATCACCTAAAAGAGCACGAGCCAAAACAGCGTGAAGCATCAGCGTGTCTCGAACAAAAAATGGGAACTGTATCTAAAACTTTCATTGCACTTTCAATTCCTACGTCTACGGTGATTCTAATCAGCACTCTTTCGCTTGTTAGGGAATCGATCCCCCTTCTGGATCCCCCTTATGGATCCCCGAAACCCGCAGTCGGACAGGCGTCGACCGTCGATCGTAGCTGCCGAGTCGTCGCGTGCAAGGTTCCAAAGAACACGGTGCACGGCTGACAACACCGCTTCACCTGTCTGTCGCCTACCGTTAAAAACTAAAACGCTTACAAATAATTAGAATAATATAGAGGGCTCGAGCAGCGGGATTACAGAGTCGCTGCGAATAGAAAGGAAAAAGAGGATCGGACCGGGGAAACTCGGTCGGAGAGAACTCGCGTATCGGAAACAGAAGCGTTCGCTTCGCGATACTTCTGAAACAAACGCAGTTTGCCCGTTGTCCCGCGTTCGGTGCTTCCGGTTTCCCCGGCATCGATTCTCGCGAATACATCTTAGAAAGCTACGTGAAAGAAACAAAGAAGAAATAAAATGAACTTCCTCGCCGTGAGACACGGTCGCTACGCCGTCGGACCCGATCTCCGAAACGTCGATGTCGCTAACGGAATCCCGGGAAGCGCCAGCCCAACAGAGATCGAATTCTGGACGAGATCGTGGATCGCCGGGCGGTTCCTCAGTGCTGCTGCACCAGGGTGGGCCCGTTTCCTGGGTTCCTCCACGGGTCCGGTATGTCGAAGTGATCCGGGACCGTCAGCAGAGCGTCGTCAGCGGTGCGATCCGCGCTGCAGTTCTTCGGCTTCACTCGAGTCGTGTTCACGCACTCGATCGGAAGCTTGAAGAACTCCAGCTTGTAATTGTAGCCCTGGCTGGTCGCTCTGATGATCGTGTGGAGCGGGACCTCCATGTACGGCAGCTCCTCCGGCTTCTTATCCATGAAGAAGCCGATTATGCAGCGCAGAACAGCCTGGTGGGACACCACCAGGATGTTGTCCGATCTCTGCAGCTCCGCGATCACGGGGTCCACACGGTGCATCGCGTCCACGTAGCTCTCGCCCCATGGGTAACGGTAGCGCAGCTTGTCCTGGTCGCGCCAGGCGAACTCCTGCAAAATCAGCGCGTTTTTTTGTTTATTTTTATGGGAACAGTGAAGTTGTCTTGCGTCGGTCAACTACCGACTATCGGTGCTTATGCAGAGGTCGAGAACAATGAAGTGCATCGTCAATGCAGTGGAACGAATGCGCATTCCGGGTGCAGGATAATCGTACATTTTTATCTTATTCGTAATGAATTCGATTGTTATGTTAGAGATTGGACTAATGTTTCTTCGAAGGTGGGATCGAAATCAAATCGGAGTCAGACGACATGACTCGACGAGTTCTCAGAAACTTCAGAAATATACGACGTACAGCCTAGCTGGATTAAGAGTTGGATTAAGATACCGTTAAACAATCAAGCAGAACATGTTTGAACATTTTTAGTGTTTCTCTGCTGAAGTTAATTAAATGGCATCAAAGATTAGCACTTCGCACCAAGTGTTACCATGACGTTTATTTTGATCGATTTCACATTTTTTTATTTCGAGATTCTTGTACACAATCAATTGTCACTAGTCTCTGGAAAAAACAGGCTGATGGAGCCGGATATTGTTGAGTAATTCCTTACGCTCGGTTACTTAAATATTTACTTAAATACTTTAATTCCTTTGTTTTGTTTATTTCTGAATAAACGATCGTCTTATTCGACAAATGTAAAATTAATTGCGTCCGAGAACATGTATTTCTTGGCACGATTTTTCTGCAACCTGCAAGGCCCATACGTTCGACTGTGCGGAACAAAACAATTGACTTGCAAGAGCAAGCAACGCGTAGAGCTGACACCTTTCCCCACTATGTTGTTAACTTCTAGGCAAATAATTTTTTATTGCTCCGTTTAAATCAACTTTTTTGTCGTAAGACTAGTTTATCTTTCTAACGTTTACTCGGCACGCAATAAAGAACGAGTGACATAAATCAGGATGAAGGCCTTTCAAACTTGACTGACAAGTATGATTGACTTTGTGCTCGAGAGATAAGGTGGGGAACGTTGCTCATTGGCTGGGAACATTTATCAGTTTCGAATCGATAGTTTTACGATTTCGTATGACAATACTCTATCTCTTGATAAAAGAACAAACGGGAATGTGACACGCGGGACAAGAAATGATGCAGATATGCCTGGTCCTGGAAATGAGACACGCTATCCGAACCAATTGCAAATCGTCAATATTCAAGATACTCATCATCCTCGATATATTCAATTCGTTCCACGCGTTCCATTCGTTCGGATACATTCGATTCAGAAAGCCAGACTTATTGATTAGGGAGCAGTTGCCGATCATCAACTTTAACAATTTATGCTGCGAATTGCTTTCTCAATTTAGAATCTCGAGGACCTTTTACTTAGTAGCAATTGTGATTCAGCGTTGTGCTAATAAAACGTCTCGATGGGAAATACTGCGAACCTGATGCCGAGATCAAGACCCACTGATTAGGGAGCTGCAATAGTTCTGAATCATCGACCTCAGCAATTTATGCGGCAGTTTTATCTTTCTCAATCAATTTAGAACTCGTACGGCAATTTACTTGGAAGAAACAATTTGCCGTTCGTTATTAAACAAATAAACGAGGTGATTAGGAGATGCTGTGTCATTCCTGCATCGTCAATGTTAACAGTTTACACGGCCATTTCATCTTCCTCAGTTAACTTAGAATTTATTGATTCATTTATTTGAGAATGACAATTACTGGACTGCAGATTTCATGCACTTTCTGGCAAATATGGAGTCAGTGAAACGCAGTGAAAATATCAAACGAATTTAACAACATGGTTGCATTATCTCCAACTCTTCAGAATAATTAAAATAAATAATTATATAATAAATAATTATTTATAGTTCCTGCTTCTTAGAATAGATGTCGGAAACTTTTATTTTGCATGAAAATTCGCAGCCTAACAATTACGATTCGGTGCAAATATGCAACGTAATGGAGGATATAAGTAGTCTCATTTGGAGATCAAGGTTCACAGACTACTTCATCAGGCTTAAATCATGAACTGAACGTAGACAAGTACCTGCGGATATTTCTCCTGCATCTCCTCATAGGAGAGGCCCTCGCATACTCCAGCGTAAAGTTCGTTGAGCGCAGCAACATGCTCCTGCGGCGCTTCAACGCCTCGGGCAGTGGCGATGGTCCTTCGAAGACGACTGGTCAGGACCCTTAGGTCAGGAATCCGCATAGCGTTGAACTTGGTAGACAACGCCTGAGCGTATCTCTCACCGCGAGCGCTCAATACTGCATCGCCACCGACTTTGCCAAGGACGTTGTACTCGCTTTCTCCGTGCTACAAACGAAAGAGAACTTCAGTTACCACGATCTGCTACAAAACTCGCGACGCAGTTAGCTAATCGATCGAATCCCGGAGCTGTTGTATCAACAATCGTTGAATAAAATGCTCCAAAAGCGTCGAGTGTCACTTCAATTTTCATCGAAATCGCGATTATATCGAACGACTAATAAAGTCAGAAGCATCATGAAATCTCCTAACTCTCTCTATCATAATTGTGTCTACTCTGATTTTCATTATTGAATCATGCAGTTGCAAGTAAAATCGAAATGCCGATTTTTGTTCGAGCATTTGGATTTCGTAGCTTCGAACGCCTCGAAGTATCGAATTTGCACGATATAATATAATCGAATAGTCTGCTCGAACACAACGGTAGGCTACTAATCCAACACAAAGAAACCGTAGTCGGAATGAACGTCGTTGAAGGAAAATTCTCGAGGAAAATCCGTTGAAAGATGATCATCTAAAAAGATCCAAACATGACAGTTCATAGGCTAATCGGTTAATCAAACAGGCTTCAAATTCAACAGAAAAGACTATAGCCGCGAGGAAACTCGTTCAAGGAAAACCGACGATCATCTGTAAAGTCCCCAACATAATAGTTCACAGTCTAATTAAATAGAGTATCAACTCGACGCAGAAAGCTACGGTCGCGACCAACTTTGTTCGAGGAAAACAGACGATCATCCAAAAAGACCCGAACATAATGATTCACACAGCCTGATGTGTTTGAACATCCTATCTGGCTGGCAACCAAAGAGAAACCAAGAGAAACTACGCTCGGAATGAACTTCGTTCGATGAAAACTGATAGAGAACCGCGCGAAATGTCTCTAATCCCGAAACAATTAAAACAAGACTAAGTACAATAAAATGATCGTGTCTACTAACTCGAGAGAAGTACAGAGTGTGAGGCTTGAGCGTGACACTGCCCATGTATCCAAGAATAGCTGTCTCCACGTGGCCGGACACCTTGTAAGTCTCGATGTCCATGGTTGCAGTGTTAATCCGTATTCTAGGGTAGTTCTTCTCGTCCATGGGCTCGTACGAGCGGACGTAATGCGCGACCTTGAGCGTCAGGTCCTCCTCGGCCACTGCAGGATCCATGCCGGCGTAGTCGGTGCTGTGCCGCAGGATCTCCTTGTAATTTTGCTGAAGCACCAGCGGGTCGTCGCAGACGCACTCGATGAAAAGCACGCGATAACCGAGCTGCCCGGAAAAGTAGTCGAAGACCTCGGCGCGCTGCGCTCGTGTCACCAGCGTGGCGTCCAGAATCTTCAAACAGGAAATTTCTCAGAACTGGATACATACTTCACTCGCGACGCCTAGCATCGTGTTTCTGTTCTTTTCGGGGCATACGGGGAGCACGGGGGGCAGAGTTTATTTCTCGGTTGGAGTTCTAACATCGCTGGTCACCGGGGCGATGCGATCGATTATGTTCAAATGCGTTCAAATTGCGTTTACATTGCATTCAAATTGCGTACAAACGTGTTCAGATTGCGTTCAAATGTATTCAGATGCGTTCAAATACGTGGGAAACGAGAGCAGGCAGATGCAAACGCGTTCAAACACTTACATACTAGTGCAAGCGCGTGGAAACGAGTGCAGGCGCGTGAAAACGCAAACAATCGCGTGAGAAACGCCTGCAAAAGTATTTAGATGCTTGAAAACAGTTGTAAGCGCGTGGAAACGCTTTCAAATGCGTGGAAACGCTTTTGGATGTGTAGAAACGTGTTGAAACCGCTGAGAACGTATGCAAACACGTTTAAACGCGTGCAAACGAATGCAAACACTTCTAAACATCTGAGATTGTCTTAAAACGCTTGCAAACACGATCAAACGCTTGGAAACAACTTGAAACGCCTGCGAACGCTTTCAAACGCTTGGAAACGAACGCTTTCAAATGCTTGCAAACGCCTGAAAACATCTACAAACGCATTCAAACGGCTTTAAACGCTCGCAAACGTCTGTAAATGTCTTTGACCGCGTTCAAACGCCTCTAAACGAGATAACGACCTGCCCTGTCGCGAGATAACGGGACGTAGGCGTTCACGGTTCCCGAGTGCATCATGAAAAATAATCGGTCGGCGACACTCGCGCGACGCTGTTTCACGATTGTAGGAGAAAGGCGGATTGTGAAAGACCGGCTCGACCAGCCTTCGAGTGTCTCCGCCTCCGATCATTTCGCGCGATCTCGAGTGCGTGCGTGCAAACGAAACAAGAAATATCCGATCGAGCTTCTAGACATTCGAGATTCTCAGATGGATCGCGGATCGGTCGAGGGGTCTCTTTGTGTTCATCTCCAGACCGATTTCCGGTGCGGTTTGACGCGCTCGTCGTGCGTTCGACAAGCATCTAGCATGCTGGTGATACTTACAGCTACGGAATTCCCGGCTGCGAGCCATGAGCCGCAGTCTTGCATCGCGTCTCCCTGGGCCAGGGCCCTCAAAGCCGCGTTCGCCGTGTGATCCGGCCGAAACAGCTCGTGAGACACTGCCTCGCCATACGGCTCCACTCTTCTTCTTCGATACTCGCTCACTCTCATCACTGCAATTGCAGAATTTCGGTTTAATTGGTGATCGCGAGTGATCGGAGAAGAGTTGGAACCGCGAGACACGGATTATGGTTTACAAAGTTTAATTAAATGACACTGAACGTGCCATAGATTGCTTCGCGACAGTGATATGATTGCATTCGAGTTCCGAGTTCGCGCAGTTTTTGACTGCAACGTGCGTTTTGATCGAGAAATTTGTGAAAGGATGTCTCGAGGAAATATTCTGATAATATCAATAGCCAAGAAAGAAAGTCACTTTATCCTGTCCGATAGTTCTTGCGTTAAGACGAAGTCTATTTTATGCTGTGACTTATGTTCAAGGGTTTTCCTCATTTTGACCTGAATTTTATGAATAGTGACTGTGATGCTGGTTTCATCTCGACGATCCGCAACACTTGCATACATTTTGAAATGATCGACGCAGCGAGATGTCTAACTATGTCTTAATTACAGTAAATAAAAATAAAAATGGTGTATGTGAATCGCGAGAGAAAGAGAGAGAGAGAGAGAGAGAGGGAGATGTAAAAAACAAGATAGAATATAATAAGAAAAAATATAATAGAAAATAACATTCTCATTCTATGGATACCACAGTACCTAGATACAAGTAGGTGTTGACAACGCCCAGGTATGTCGTCAAATTGAGAGCAAGTTAGTAAACAAGCTATCTAGCAATCAACTGCATAACGCCTGTACAGATATTGCGTATCGATTGATCGCAAAAGACATTCTGCACTCTCATTTCGCGATAACATCTCCGAGTAGAATCGGTCTTTTTCGTAAATCGAGATATCCTCTTGAAATATCCTCGACATTAATCAATCTCGAATGACATCACGGTTTTTAATCGTTCCTTGGTAAACGAAAATGCCTGCTTTCTTTAGCACAGCGTGCTATTCGACGCCCACGCAAGGATAAGAATAATTAACGACCTGCGGTCGAGTTGCGACTTCGAGACCCCGTGTGACTTTTTAAATAAACATCGTTTCACACAGTCCCTGCACAAAGGAAGACCCACTTAGCATCCACGTTATTATATTTAGTTACTTATCCTAAGAAAAGCTTGCTCGAAGGTGCGAACGTATCTTCGGAAGATTATTTAAAGAAACCTGAGGGAAAAGTCGCTGCAATTTTCAAGAACCCCCGTCGGAAATCCTGGAAAATCGAAAGTGCGTCTAATCGTCGGGGTGTTCGCGGAACGGAGGTGGCTCTACACCTGTCTAATTCGGACGATCGGGGCGCAAAACATTCTATCTTTAGATCAAATTAATTCGAAAGCCCGCTACAGGTAACTCCGTGTCGCAATTCCGATACCGAGCAATCAGTAAACAAGATTTATCAACTGTTCCTCCCGCGACGTTCCTCTTCACGCAAGGTTCTTCAACAGGAAAGCTCTGTGTCCGAGGAAAACCACTCTGGGCCGGACAAGATAAGTCCCTGTCGTCCGACTGTGTAAGTGTTTACCCGACAACGGGCCGAGAAAAAAGGAACGAATGCGTTCAAGGTAGATCGTAAGTCGTAAATGGCGGTATACGCAACGCAGTCTCGTCGTAGAAACGTATTTTATCGCCGCGGCACTAAAAGAATGTTGAAGAAAAATCATTGGAATTGATGGACGTTGGCCACACCGGCAATCAAATAATTTACGATCATGTCATGACAGCAAGGAATGAAACATCGTTAATTGGAGGATGCGGGGAAAAATCGATTGGTTCCGCCGTCGATTGCCGACGATTGGACTGCGGATTTGATTACATGACGCGCGGCACTAATGGGATCATTAGGCTTAATTAATTAGGCACCCTTTGCCGCTGCGAGCATTAATAGGGTAATTATCAATGTCAGTAATCGTTCCAGTTTTCTTGACTCTTCCTTACTTTAGAAATAACCTCATTCAATTTCTATCGTGTACTTGCTGGATATTTGTGTACAGAGTGTCCCAACATTAATGTACAAGCGAGAAACGAGGAGTCCCTGAGGTCATTTGAAGTAACCATCTCCTTAGCGAAAGTGCAATCTCGCTTGTACAATAGTTTTGGGACACCCTGTATTTCTGCGTATATCTGCAACTTGCATTATTATTTATATATACTAAAGGTTGTTATTTGCGAAGCGTACGAATAAATTCGAAGTCAATTATGATTTGATCGCTATTGATTGTGACATATCGACAGGTTAAATACAAAAGAATTTGTGGTCATCGAATTCTTAATTCTCTGAAGTACGATGGACCTCTGACATTCTTTGTTATCGGAATGCTTTGTTCAGCAACTCGATCTGAAGCGACCTAAATACAACGCTAATCATTAGACTGCGGATCTTTGGCCAAAGAAAACTTTCCTACATCGGTTGACAATTTACAATAATATTCATACTTAATAGATTATTACTAGAAATTACTGTCAAAGCCAGACTCGTCAAACTACAGCAAAGTGTTAACTTTTCTCTCATCCCAATCAGTTACAATTTTCGCAGGATCTTTCTACCCGCGTCTAACAAGCTAATTATTCCAACATCTGTAAAAGGGTCAAGTAATATCGTCCAATTTTGTTCCCGCGCGTCGTCATTCGTCCATCGCTGGGTTACAATTATAAAAAGCTTTAACGAACGTCGTCGGATTTATCGGATTGGCCCGCGATTGCCGCGGAAAATTGCGATTTCGCGTGGAGATAGCGTCGTAGCGTTTTTGCTCACCTTTAGTGGAGTAGCCGTTCCAGTTGAGCCTGCGCGAGAGACATTGCGCCACCTGGCTTTTTCCACGACCTGGCAGGCCGCACATCGCGACCACCACCCCCGCGAATTTCCGCGGCGACTTCGTTTTCCCCGGCGTTCTCATGGCGATCTTGTCATTCCCGGGCTCTGTAACCAAAACGAGGACAAACGTGAGAAAAAAACACGGTTGGATAAGAGGCCAGCGTGACGCTGATCGGCGGGTCGGTTTCAGCACCGGTCATTCTTGCTCAGCCCCGGGAAAAGCGGACCCGCCGCGAACAATGAGGCCCCCCGAACAAAGCCTCGTAAATATTCATCGGCTAGAAAGCGCGTTCAGCGACGCGTTTCCCTCGCGATCGTGCCGCCCGTCCGCTCCATCGCCGGCCGAATTAATCGCTGCATCGCAAGTTCGCGGATCTGGCAAGAGGCCGAGTCAGCTATACGCGGCGATCATAAAGCAGAAACGTGAATACGCGCAATTCGAAACTCGCGAGCAGGCCGCCTCGCGTTGCAAAATGTTCGTGCACGCGGAAAACCTGGCGACTCATGCTTCGGTAGGACGGAGTTTGCACGGTCGATTGTTCTGCCCGTTTCCTTTGTCCGCCATATACCGTACTGAAATTCCCGCGAACCGTCCCGAACGCAGGATGCCGACATAATTGGGCACCGTCGCACGGTAAATCCCGGGGCTCGCGTTTTTCGTGCGAACGTACCGGTAATTGATGTTTATTGACCGGTCGTTTATGTAACGGTGTGCGCGGTAATCTCAGGCGAAACGCAGCAATAGGCGGATTTGATTAATCGTTATTCCGTTCCAAGGAAGCCGGGTGCCATTTGCGCCGGTCGGAGGCGCGCGTTATCTTTATTAGCGGAACGTCAGCGGGATATTTTCAAGAGCGATCTATAGCAACGGCTTGCTAAAATAAAGCAACAAGATACAGGCAGCCGCCGATCGACGGAGCGGGACGGGGAATTGTCACCGAAATTTCCCATCCCGTTTCCACTGCCACGTGTCGGTTCAGATTTCGATCGGTCGCTGGTCCGCGTCCAATAATCTGTATCGTCGACAGATAAATACCAGCGTCAACAACAATAGGTGCGATCAGCCACTGAAAATTTCCGCGTGGAAACGGCAATTTCGCAGAAAATTGGTTAGAGCAAGGCGACAAACGACAGATTGCTTCACCTAGTGGAAAAACCCAGATAATAGGCAGAGGTTTCCCGTTCAGAAAATATTCGAACGCCATGCTCCGCTCGTTAGAATGCCGATCGGCTCGCTCTCCTTGTTTGAACGTGATCGTGTGGTGGAAGTGGCCGCTCGAATTGGAACAACGACGCGTCAGAATCGTGTCACACCGTTGTCCGATCGAAGAACGTACGCTCGGAGTTCTCCTTACCGATCACACACATGTTTCCGACAACGTGTCGCGACCCCTCGCACGAACAACGAGCTTCGCCGAATCGATAATGTTGTACAAGTTCGAATGATGCCACCAAGCGAGAACTGCTCTTCGGGCGCTAATTGGTAACTTCCACCCGCGAACTTCTAACCAACACTGACAGAAGATCCGTGCGAATCCCACACGCCGTTCGTGGACTTTATATTTAGCGAGCGGATTCGGCCAAAATTTTCCCCCGACCCCCCTCCTCCAACCACATTTCCCGGCGGCCGATGCGAAAACACACTTCCGCGCGCTTCTTCCCTGACCCTCCGATGCTCTTTGTTGCAAACATTTTGGCGCATTGTCCGCGGATCGCCGAGCCGATGAATGAAATGGCTTTCCCCCTATCGAGTTTCATTGACCGGGCGCTTCGGCTTCGGCTGAACCGATTCGAACGCGAAATCTGCAAGGGAAATGCTGAGGAAACATTTACTGCGCCATGTATACGTAAATTGGAGGAACTGGGGTAATTTCTATGCACGACGATCGATTTTCGATATCCGTGCTCGGAAATTACGCGTCGAATACATTTGGAGTTCGCTGTATTTGGTTATATCTTTGCGGGAGGCCTCGCAATTTTTTCGGCGAAGATAGAGTAGCGGAGTCGGTTACACCGGGCTGACCAATTACTGTGACTTTGGACACAATTAACTTTATGTCGAATAAGATTTTTTTATTCAAAAATGAACCAGAGACGCAGAAATTCTGTTGATTTATTTTAGTTAAGTTAATGTATTCTGTATTCTGTAACATATGCTAGAACTGTCGTGTAAGATATCGTCAAATTGAATTGAATTCATAAATTCGTTTCTTAACAGTAAAATGATAATACCGACGGTAAAATACATATTAATAACCGTAACAAGGAAGTACTACGGTAAAAATACGGATGTGGTGCCTTGGCATTACGAAATCAGCATTTTCAAGTTTCCGTGTTTTGAAAGAGTTGATTTTGCAAGTAAATGTTTTGAAGAAATTCATGAATTTTTTCTACACCTGCAGAATTTAAATGTAACGCTTGACAACTATTATAATATCGCTATGATGGATCTGTATGAGTTGTGTGTAATTTTTGTGTAATGCAGAATTTTGTATAATTGTTGTGTAATATTTAATATTTTAGATACGCTAGAAGCTATAAAATCCGTATATGTAAATGAATGTAAATAAAGGAATACGAAACTCTTAATCGCGTATTTAATATTCTGTGTACGGTATTCAAGGTTCTTAACTTCCAAAAGCTCTAGCACGGCTAGATTAAAGAACTCGTTCTTGACTCCCTAATCTCGCATTAAGATGCGATGCATCAACGATGTAAATGAAAGAATTAGTCGGATGAATATGAATGAGCTAGAAGTGACGTCCACATATGATTTATGAACAATAACAAGCTTAATATCTAGCATTGAATATTCGGCTTTACGAACATGTGGATGTTGCCGCCATCGCTTTCACGCGTTTATTTTCGAAAAATGAAGAAGAACGATGAGTCTCCGTGGGTCATTGTGACGATTCCTGGCCGAGATAAAAATAACGTCGTCGGGAAAAGTGGAAACGAGAAAAACCAGCAGGGTGGCATAGTCCAAGTGATATTATCGCGTTCTATTTTCCTCTAAACCGGTCTTAGATAAAAGGTCGCTACACTTAGGCGAATTCTGAGGGCACACAGTAGTCGTTTCGATTTTTCTAAGAATTAAGAAATCGAATATTTTGTAACAAAACACTCTCAGTTTCTTTTTTATCAAGTATGTAATTTTTATTGAAAAACCACATCGACTGGAATTACTCTAGTAATCCATGGGCATTTCTTGGCAAAACCGATTAATATAGCATTATTAATATATTAATATTAGCATATAATTAGGCATTTTTAAATGAAATTTCTTTTTGCTGGTATTGACAACTGTTGCACTACAGAATAAAAATATATACGTATATAGGGGGGATAAATATTGCGTAATACACAAATTGACCAAAACCTTTTTATATTTTTCATATACTACAGAACTTTGTTTAATTAATTCAAATGCTTGATTATAAATGCTTCAGAATGTCATTACTATAGTACAGATTTTTATGTAAAATAAATGCTATCTTCTTCCTTTCTTTAATCATTTTGATAGATTAAAAATAATACATTGATATTTTTCAGTTGCTTCAATCTTTTTAGCACTTTAAACTGTGACTACTCAATTTTGTTATAAATGCCTAAAATTCGCTCTCCAGCCATTATAAACAAATATAAATATAACAAATATCCCTTACTGACGCTCAGATTGTCCACAAAAATGGACAATTTGGGAAGAGGCGATACGGTTGTTCGAGCCTTGCAGCTCGTTTTTATAGTTACCAATTGCCAATAAATATAACAACGAGCCAAAATGCTCGAATAATCGTATCTTCTTTACCTAAAGTGTCCATTTTTGTAGACAATCTGAGCCTCAATTAGAGAGACATTACTGTAGATAGGAAGAAAATTTACTTTCTCTGTCTAAAACCCAAGAACCAAAGTGATATATTTATAAATTGATTCCTCAATTCCTAAAAAGATCAGAATAACCACTGCGTATCCTCGAGTTTCTACAAAATCTGGCCACCCATGATTTCGTCATTCTGTACGGTATCTGCTCCCAGTACCGCCGTTTTCTCCGTATTTGGTCGCGATATCATTACATGCCCCGAGCCGCAAACTCCGTCGACAGAATTAATTACGAATTAGACCCCTTGATCTCAGGGATCAAAGGGCCACGGTCGATTTCGCCTCGATCGTCTCAGCTTTTGATTAAGTTTCGCAAAACACGGCGAAAAAAACAACGATCGCCGGAAACGGATATTCAACGAGAATTACGTAATCTGTTCGCAGTCTAGCGGCGTTAGATGCCGATTCTATCGATCGATCGATCGCGATGAAACAATGTGAATCCGATCGTCGAGCAAGCTTACGCGAGCTTTGTATTTCCGTACGCTATGTGGATCGAAAGTTTGGCATCGGAACGCGAGCAGATCGGAATGATACGCTCGTTAGGTCAACAAATTTAACCTACTTTAACATACTTTGTCTGTCGACGGTTGCTTGATAGTGTTTTGCAACTGGCGATTCACTGGCGAGGATTTTCGAGCCGCAGGAATTAGAAGCATGAATCAACAATNGAGGCGATACGGTTGTTCGAGCCTTGCAGCTCGTTTTTATAGTTACCAATTGCCAATAAATATAACAACGAGCCAAAATGCTCGAATAATCGTATCTTCTTTACCTAAAGTGTCCATTTTTGTAGACAATCTGAGCCTCAATTAGAGAGACATTACTGTAGATAGGAAGAAAATTTACTTTCTCTGTCTAAAACCCAAGAACCAAAGTGATATATTTATAAATTGATTCCTCAATTCCTAAAAAGATCAGAATAACCACTGCGTATCCTCGAGTTTCTACAAAATCTGGCCACCCATGATTTCGTCATTCTGTACGGTATCTGCTCCCAGTACCGCCGTTTTCTCCGTATTTGGTCGCGATATCATTACATGCCCCGAGCCGCAAACTCCGTCGACAGAATTAATTACGAATTAGACCCCTTGATCTCAGGGATCAAAGGGCCACGGTCGATTTCGCCTCGATCGTCTCAGCTTTTGATTAAGTTTCGCAAAACACGGCGAAAAAAACAACGATCGCCGGAAACGGATATTCAACGAGAATTACGTAATCTGTTC